TTCCAGTCCACTCCCCTGGTCCCCCATCAGGGCCGTGACAGATGTCCCGCCTGCCTCTGGAGCATGCTGTGATGGTTCTGGTGTCTGTGCCAGCTTCCCCCTTCCTCCCGCCCCTGTTTCTGCTCCTCAGAGCCCCACACGTCTTTCAAGGTCTAGCAGGAGCCCTGATTCTTCCAGGAAGCCTTGTGTGACCCTGTTACCAGGAGTGGCCTCTCCCTCCTCTGGTGCCTGTGGTGTGTCCTCTGGTCCTCTCACTTGACCTTGGCTTGCATTATGGGTGGTGACAGCTCTTGTGTTCTGACCTGACTCTTCAGTGGGCACCTGTCTGTCCAACTAGACTGTAAGCACCCCAGAAGCAGGGCCTGAGTTGCTTGGGAAACACAAGGCCCCTGGTCTAAAGGTTGTTCTCTGGGTTCGGGTGCCCATCCTTAGCATTGCCCCTCGTCCTTTGCCAGCTTGGCCCAGCCTTGTGCTGTGGACCTTTCAGGGCAGCTCTGGCCTTTCCCTCTTGCAGGGACAGCCCCACATCAGAACAAGTCACCTCCTCTGGGCAGCTGCCTATGGCTTGGACACAAGGACCCCATTCCACACCCCTCAGCAGTGGACTCATGACAATCAGCCTCTTGGGAAGACTCAGGGCTTCTCTCCTTGGGACCAGGAGATGTCTGTGTATTTCCCACCATGTCCTGGTACCCGCTTTCTCTGTCTGGCCTTTGCCCTGGTCCTTTCCTGTGTGGCCAGCACATGAATGGAAAGATCTGGTGTCAGATATGGTGCTAGGAGCTTACCATGGATCACTGCACATAGGAATCCTGTGTGATAGGTTCGTTTTATGTATGAGGAACTACCCAACATCACACCCACTTTGGAGGCTGAGAACTGGTAGCTGCTCTGCCCTGCTGCTTCTGGGTTGACACTGCTTGCCTGGCTGCCCCTCCAGGGAGCCTGCTGCCTGTTGCTCTCTCCTTTGCCCCGGCCTTTATTTTATCTTAGAGCCACCCACCCACCCACACTACTCTCTGCTCTTGGCAGCTGAGTTTCCCCTTCTTTTCAGCTGGGGGGCCCAGCGCTCTCTTTCTTGGGAACTGAATGGGGTTCAGTTGGGGTGGGCTCCCCCCTTCTCCTTTCCTTCCTCCCTTCCCTGAGAGGGCCAAGACCATTCTCAGCCTGGCCCTAGCTGTAGGAAGAGGGCTGTGGGATGAAAGGTGATATATAAATGTAAGGCGATGATTATTTATTTGACAGGGACAGCTGCCTGTGGTAAAGAATGTAATCTAGTAATCCTTTTGTGAAAATCGGATCCAAGGCTCAGCATGCTGCCTAAAACAGCAAAAGGCCGTTCTCCCTCCCTCCTCTTCCCTGCCCCTCACCCCACCACGCTCTCTGACACACTTCCTGGCATTCCTGCGCTCATGTGCCCTGTGGCGTACGTGTGGCGGACACATACACACACACCATCTCTCTTTTGCCTTTTTGGGTTGTTGTTAACATCTTACATAACCCTAGTACAATGCTCAAAACCAAGAAATTAACATTGGTGTAATGTTATTAACTAAACCATAGACCTTATTTGGATTTTCCCGCTAATGTCCTTTTTCTACTCCAGGATCCTACACTGCAGTTAGTTATCACGTCTCCTTAGGCTCCTGCGGTGTGTGACAGTTACTTAGTTTTTTATGGCCTTGACAGTATTGAATACTAATACATCACTTTGTAGAACTTCCCTGGCTTTGGCTTTGTCCAGGGTTTTCTTGTGATTAGATCGAGGTTATGCATTTTTGGCCAGAATACCACAGATGTGATGCTGTGTCCTTCTCAGTGCATTGTATCAAGAGGTACATGATGTCAGGATGCCTTATTACTGGTGGTGTTAACCTCGATTGCTGGAGGAGGTGATGTTGGCCAGATATCTCCTCACAAAGTTACTGTTTTTCTCTTTGTAATTAACAAATGTCTTGTGGGGACATACTTTGAGACTATACAAATATCCTGTTTTTCCTCAAACTTTTGCCCACTAACTTTAGCATCCATCAGTGGTTCTTGCCTGTAATAATTATTATTGTGGTGTTTGCCTAATGGTAATTTTCTATTTCCTTTATTTCTTCATTAGTTGGAATTCTCCTAGAAGGAAGAGCTGGCCCTTCTCCTGCATTTATTTATTCACTTAGTTATGATGATTATTTTTTTTTAATTTTTATTTATTTATTTTTTTCCCCCAAAGGCCCAGTAGATAGTTGTGTGTCACAGCTGCACATCCTTCTAGTTGCTGTATGTGGGACGCGGCCTCAGCATGGCCAGAGAAGCGTTGCGTTGTTGCGTGCCTGGGATCTGAACCTGGGCCGCCAGCAGCGGAGCGCGCACACTTAACCGCTAAGCCACGGGGCCGGCCCTCACTTAGTTATTTTTATCATTAAAGACTCATGACTATTTGTTTTATAAAATACATATTATATAATAAATGTATGGATATTTACTTCATTCTTTGGGTTATAGGTACAATTCAATCCCCTAGTTGATTTGTTGCTCAAATTGCTCCGCCTTTGACCCCTGGAAGCTCTTTCAGGTTGGCTCCTGTGCCCTTTGACGTGCCCTCAAGTTTTTGTGAGCACTTCCTTACTTTCTGGCCCCATGAGCTACCACAGGCTCATGTTATAGTTTTCCTGCCCCAGGCCTGGAATCAATCACTTCTCTAAGGAGCCCTGCTTCCATTGCTGGAGAATGGTGTTTAGAAACCAAGATCTAGGTGCTGATGTGTTCATTGCCACTGGGGTGTCGTTGCTTCTAGGTCCTTTGAGAGAACAAAATTAGGAAATATATGTATATATATGCCAACTCATGCGTACACACATACCTATCTCTATTTCTGTTTCTGTTTATCTATGTTTATATTTTAAAAATCATGAGCTTTTACTGATTTTCATTTGCTTTTAATTTGGCAGCTTGGGGGTGGGAAGGAAGCTGGGAAATCACATCAAATTCTCCCCTCACAGAGGACAGAGTCGCTGAGAGGATTGGCCTTCTGGCTGAGGTGACTTGACCAGTCAGCGATGGATTTGGGGCTACAACTCGAGACTTAGGATACCTGGGAATCATGTCTGCCCACTGTGACAGGGATCTCTGACTCCAGAAGCATCTTTTGGCAGTAGGTGGATGTACTGGGTTGAATAGCATCCCCTCCAAAATTCATGTCTACCCAGAACCTGTGAATGTGACCTTATTTGGAAATAGGGTCTTTGCAGACACTATACATCAAGTTAAGATGAGGTCACATTGGATTAGAGTGGGCCCTAATCTGTTGCCTGATGTCCTTATAAGAAGAGGGAAATGTGGACACAGAAACAGAGAGAGAGAACAGCATGTGATGGTGGAGGCAGAGATTGGAGTGACGCTGCTAGAAGCCAGGGATCACCAGGGTTGCCAGCAACCAGCAGAAGCTGGAAGAGGCAAGGAAGGATCCTTCCCTAGAGCCCTCAGAGGGATCAGGGCCCTGCTAATGCCTTGATTTCAGACTTGTGGCCTCCAGAACTGTGAGACAATAAGCTTCTGTGGTTTTATTTATTTATTTTATTTTTTTAAATTTTATTTATTTATTTTTTTCCCCCAAGGCCCCAGTAGGTAGTTGTATGTCACAGCTGCACATCCTTCTAGTTGTTGTATGTGGGACGCGGCCTCAGCATGGCCGGAGAAGTGGTGCATCGGTGCGCGCCCGGGATCCAAACCCGGGCCGCCAGCAGTGGAGCGCGCGCACTTAACCGCTAAGCCACGGGGCCGGCCCGCTTCTGTGGTTTTAAGCCACCCAATTTGTGGTACTTGGTTCTGACAACCCTGGAAACTCATGCAGTGGAGTTTCTAGTGGCTGTTGCTTTCCATCCTCTGCACAGACACGGACAGCTCCTCCCAGGCTGCTCCTTAGAGATCTCCCTCTCTCACTGCTGGGTGGCCCCTGGAGGGGGCTGTCCCCATGGGAGATAAAAGCAGAGGTTTCATTAGCATGTGTTTGTGCCAAATGAAGACCAGAGGGCTTGGATGTTGAACAATATCCAGTGATGATACTTGTCCCTTTCCCCTGTTCCCCAGAATCGCTGTGTTACAAGGATAATCTGATCATCAAATTGTGTTTCTTCGCATTTAATTCAACTTCAAGTCTGTCTGTCTTCCTCTGCTTCCTGGTGTAGCTCAAGGTCACCTCCTAGGAAATGCTCCTCCTTGTTTTTACACATCAAGTTCATCCTGAAGGCTCCTCCACTCCCCCCACCTGCCCTGTGGGCACAGTGCACGTCCAGCAGCCCTGGGCGTCCTTGGTGGATGGCGTTTGTTCTCTGGACAGTGAGGCCCTCCAGGAGGGAGCACATTGCCCCGTGCTCAGCACCCACAATCTCTTGTATTCGTCTCTGGACTCTTTTTTTTTTTGTGAGGGAGATCAGCCCTGAGCTAACATCCGTGCTAATTCTCCTCTTTTTGCTGAGGAAGACCGGCTCTGAGCTAACATCTATTGCCAATCCTCCTCCTTTTTTTTTTTTTTTTTTTCCCCAAAGCCCCAGTAGATAGTTGTATGTCATAGTTGCACATCCTTCTAGTTGCTGTATGTGGGAAGTGGCCTCAGCATGGCCAGAGAAGCGTTGCGTCGGTGCACGCCGGGGATCTGAACCCGGGCCGCCAGTAGCAGAGCGCGCGCACTTAACCGCTAGGCCACGGGGCCGGCCCACGCCTCTGGACTCTTGAGATCACACTGTCTGTCATGCCGGTTCAAGGCTCTCTCCTGTCCTGTCTTCCCTAACTGTGCTGGTCCGCAGAGCCCTTGCCCTGCGTCCTTCCTTTGCCAGTGCTCTCACATGGGAAATCACCTTTTCTTTTCCTTTCCTTTCCTTCTTTTTTTTTTTTTTTTTGGTGTGGAAGATTAGCCCTGAGCTAAGATCCATTGACAATCATCTGCTTTTTGCTGAGGGAGATTTGCCCTGAGCTAACATCTGTGCCCATCTTCCTCTGTTTTGCATGTGGGATGCCGCCACAGCATGGCTTGATGAGCGGTGCGTGGGTCTGTGCCCAGGATCCAAACCTGCAAACGCCGGGTTGCCGAAGTGGAACGTGGGAACCTAACCACTGTGTCACTGGGCTGGCCCTGGAAATCACCTTTTTACGTGTATTTGTTTTGACTCACTGACTTGACTGAGAGCTCCTCCAGTCAGGGCAGGGACCCTGTTGCACCTAGAGGGTGCCTGACTCGGGTTTGTTATGGATTTTCTCCTTCCTTATACCTGGGGGCAGAGGAAGTCCCATCTCAACACATCTTGCTGAGTTTGAGGCTGAATATTCTCAGCTTCTTATGGGGAACCTGAATCCCAGGAAGATAGAAGCGTGCCCCTCCCCCAGCATCCCGGTCGCACATATATAGCGAGGGCAGGAAGAGTAGGGACCAGGTGTCCTTCGCTTCCCCTCGGGTGTCTCTGCCAAGATCATCCTGTCCTGCTCTTTCCTCATCTTTCTGTCCAGATGGCTGAGGAAGGCATGGCTGGCATCAGCCAATGTGATGTATGACCACATGGAGCTCAGAGCAGAGAGAGCTCAGACCATTAGGGGTGTCAGGCTGGGAAATCGGAAATTAAAGGCCTGGCCCAGTGGCCAGCCACACCTCCCCCTGGTGCAGTGTTCTGAAATCACCTGCGGGTGGTTCGTCAGCACGGCACAGGGGAAGGAAGGCCTCTTGGCAGGCTGGAGAGACAGATGGGCTGCAGGCACTGGGCCTGGCCCTGTGAGTGAGCTCCAGGGCACTGGGGCTTGGCGCTGAGCTCCCGTTCTCAAGCTCCTGCTGGCCCTGTCACGAGAAACTTTCTCCACTTGGACATTGTACCGTGGGCAAGCCACTGCCCCTCTTAGGTCTCAGTCTTCTCATCGTAAAATGAGAAGATTGGACCAGATGGTCTTGAGGTCTCTCTCAACCCTGACATAGCTTGGATTTATGACCTCTGGTTGCAAGGAGAGTGGTGATGGGGTTGTGGCTGACGGCAAAGGGGCAGACAGGGCCCAGGATGCCAGCCCATTGGAGAAGGATGTCTTCCCCCAGAGCCCTTGGGAGCTGAGCTGGCACTGGGGTCAGGAAGACCTCTTGGGGACCGTGGTCTCTGAAAAGGCAGAAGAGAGGACTTTCCTTTGTCAATAGTCCCTTGACATTCTGTTTGTCATTCCATCCACCCATCCGTCTTTCCTACAGGGATTTATTGAGCACCTACTGTGTACCAAGGACTGTGCTAGTGCTGTGAACAAGAGGAGGTCATAGCCTCCATGGAGCTGAGGTCTAATTGAGGAAGACGGGCATTAGATGAACCTTCGCACAAGCATTTAATTACCCTCAGAGTGGTTTCAGGCACCTCTGTGTGCTCTGCCCCTCTTCCTTGATTTTGCTTTTCTGTTCCCTCCACTGTCTTCCTCTTTCTCCCTTGCTGCTTCTTCTCCACTGCTTTGTCTCTACGGCCCTGCCTCACCTTTCTTTTGTTTTTTTTTTTGTGAGGAAGATCAGCCCTGAGGTAACATTTGCCAATCCTCTTCTTTTTGCCGAGGAAGACTGGCCCTGGGCTAACATCTGTGCCCATCTTCCTCTACTTTATATGGGACGCCGCCACAGCATGGCTTGACAAGCGGTGCGTTGGTGCGCACCCGGGATCCGAACCCTGGGCCGCCGTGGTGGAGCGCACGCACTTAACCGCTTGCACCCTCGGGCCGGCCCCCTGCCTCACCTTTCTAATGCCAAGACCTTCTTGAGATTCTGGGCTCTGTCGGGCCAGAAACTCGAAAAGCCCTGTGTCCTGACCTTTGTGCTTATGTGCCTGGAGAATTCCCTGGGGAGGAGAGTAGCTGTGCCTGCTCTTCCTTCATCTATTGTGGGTGGACTCCGTGGCCTCTGGGGGGTGATGGATTGCAAGCTTTGGAATCAGACATTTCTGGGTTTGTGTTCAGACTGTGACCCTTCCTAGCTTACACAAGTGACTTACCTTCTCTGAGCCTTAGTTTCCTCATCTGGAAAATGGGTTTAACTACTTTTACCTTGAAGCATTTTGGGGGAGGATCAAACGGGAAAATTAAGTGGCGGTGCCGTGGTGGTAACTTGAATATAGTAGGTGCTTGATTAAAACTAGCTTCCTCACTTCCTTCCCCTCCATTCAGGTTTGTGGCCCAGATGTTCTGGAGTGTGAGGTGGAGGCAGAGGAGCCCTGGCCCTCTGCAGGCCATACTTCAGTGAAGCTGGGCGGCAGGAGGGCGGCAGCGCTTCCTGCTCTGGGGCAAGGTGCAGACCTTGAACCAGGAGAGGCCAGGAGTCCACCAGGGGCTGGAAAGAATGACAAGCGTCCCATGCATCCCAAAAATGAAGCATGGTGTGACAGCTGCCTGCTGCATCCTGCCGGGTGTTGGGGCCAGGGAGACCCTCACAGAGGGGCACAGCCTGAGTTGGGGGGGCCTGCTGGAGCCACTGTCCTGGTAGTGTCTCCACTGAAGCAATGGGAAGTGGCCCCTCCCTCCTCCAGAGTTGCCCTGCCCCTTACTCCCTGTCCCCTTCCAGATTCAATCTGAGCCACCTGGGGCCTGTTCTGCCCCTGAAGAGAGCATCTGCTAGACCAGGGCTGCGATGATGGAGATGTTCTGTTTTGCATTGTCCAGTACCGTAGTCACTAGTTACATGTTGCCATTGAGCATTTGAAAAGTGGCTAGTGCAGCTGAGGAAATGAATTTTTAATTGTATTTAGTTTTAATGAATTAAAATTTAAATTTAAGTGCACATAAATTTAAGTGGCTGCCATATTGGACAGTACTGTTCCACACCAACAGTTTTCACTCACAATGTTGCCACATGCTGGTGGGTCACCTTTGGTGTGAGGTGTGTTATGAATGAGTAATTTGTTCTTAGTAAGAAATTACTGAACTGTACGAATGGTTTCCATACATGTAGGGTGGCAAAGCTTGGCAGTTAAAGGGCTGGCCCTTGGGAGTCTGATTGGGGCACGTTTGGAGATGGAGTGTAGGGTCTGGAAAGGAGAGTAGGAGGGGAGAAGTCTCGAGGGCCTCATTTCTCAGGGAGACACTGCAGAACCAGGGAAGGTATTTTGATTGGCGATTCTCTGTAGGGGAAAGGGATGAAGGGGATACATCCCAGGCTTATTGGCCAAAAGGCTGAATCGATTTTATAGGAGCTAGAGGAGAGCTGAGAGACCATCTAGTCTAGCCTGCTCATTTTACAGAGGAAGAAACTGAGGCCCAGCATACATCAGGTACCTATCATGGACCAGGATATGGTTCCTCTACTTCTAAGAATTACCCTATAAAGCAGATACTGTCATCTTCATTTTGCAGTCAAGGCAACCAGAAATCAAAGTCATGAAGCTTTTTAGTGAAGCCAAGATTGATCCCAAGTCTGCCAAGAGTCACAAGCTTAATTTGTGACAGAACCCATGTCCGCCGACTGCCAAGCCAGTAGTTCACACTGCAAGTCATTGCACTGCCTTCCACCATGTTGGACTGGGGGTCAGGTTTCTGGGCTTCTTCCTCCAGTACCCGTGGCCTGTGGGATGGCCAGTGGTGATGGGGGCTCAGGTCCCACATGAGTGGAGGGGTGTGGAATGTTTGCAGGGAGCATGGCCCATGGCACTATGGGGCTGCCTGCTCCAGGGCCTAGAGCGTGCAACCACATGGCTGAGTGGCCCTGCTATTTGTGGAATCCAGAGACACCTGCCTGCCTGATGACCAGGAGGGCAGAGAGCAAGGTCAGAGGGGAGCTGAAGGCTCACATTCCACTCCTGAAAGAGAAATGCACAGAGGAGACCTGTCTCCTTCCTCTCCAGCTCTGGCTGGGATTCTGCCCAGGTGGGGGAAGGGCCCTCCTCTGTCCAGCTGTTGTCCACCCCCTTGCCCTACCGGCACTGCTGCAGCTGTTCTGGCTCCATCAGTCTCATCCAGAGCTGGGTGGAAAGAGGGGGATGAGGGAAGAGGGGGTCTCTCAGGCGTGTCTGGCCGAGGTGACTTTCGCTCCTGCCTCTAGGAGGTGTCTCCAGTAGCCGAGGGAAGGGGCTCAGGACACTGTCTGCCCCCAGCTCCTGGGTAACTTTTGGGGTGTGAGTGGCTCGGCTTTCAGCCTCTCAGCATTTGTCCCTCCAGGAAGGTCACTCTTTTATTGAAAAGAATAGGAATAGTTAAATTCTTCCTTCATCTCTGCTTGGGCCCAGGGCCCTCCTAACTCTCCTCCTTTGCTTGGCACTTCTTAGCTTTGCTGTAATTTTCATGAATGGATAAATGAATGGCCTCTCACCTACCTCCAGGACAGGGAGATGGGCACAGGCCTGAGAGGAAGGGGATGGGGTCTCTGTTTCTTCTGGCCTGATGGTTTGACATTGTTGAGACTCTGTGTTTGGGGGTCAGGCTTGGGGTGTGCGGGCCATCAGAGGACAAATGTGTTTTGTCTTCCAAGTCTAGGCAGGAGGCAGAGAGATGTCAGTCCTGGCATCAGCATCACCTGCAGCAGACGTGTGCCTGGCTGTGTTCTTTCTTTTGTTGAAATTGAGCTGAGTCCTTGAGAGCACTAATACCCTGCATTCTTCAGGAGCTACAGCAAGAGGTAGGAAGAGGAATTAGTACTCTTTCTTGGCCAGACCTCAGTTTGCCAACCTAGAGAATGAGGAGAAGCATTGCCACTCTGTTTCAATCCAACAGGTAACAGCATCACAGCACAAGAAGTTGATGGAGCTCTTTGGAAAAAAGGCTCTAGAAGGGAGTCACTTATTTTGTTTTTATTTCTTAGCTTCATCCGGTCCCAGTGCGGGACTGTGATGGGCGTTAGCCAAGTAATATACATCAGTGATTCCAGACCTGGCTTTGAGTTAGAGACATCTGGGGAGCTTGTGAATAATTCAGACTCCCGGGCCCCCAGCCCAGATCTTCTGAATCTGAAACTCTGGGAGTGGAGCAGGAATCTGTATTTTGAAAAGCTTTCCAGATGATTTCAATGCAAAGTTAGGTTTGGGAAGGTCCAACTCTTCTACCTTTGGGGAGAAATCTGGTGAACAGATATTCACATGTGCTTTCTTCTGAAGCATGCCTGACTTTGAGGAGCATTGGCTCACGCATTTATTCCTGGATTCATTCATTCAGCCAGCTGACAGTGGGAGAGTGTCCATACTGTGCCAGGTGCAGCTCTAGGCGGAGGAGTGGGGGCAGACTTAGGTGGGGTGTTCTTCCCTGAGGGAAGGCACAGTCTGTGGGGCAGACAGACAAGACCCTACAGTTATAATACAGTGTGAAGGGTGGAGTGTTAGAGATCCTCATCTGGGGCTGCTACCTCTGGCTAGGGGTCAGAGAACCATGTTGAAGTCTCCCGTCATCTGTTTCAGTTCCTCTGCCAGAGTTAGGGGCTTACTTACCCTTTCTCTGTGTATTTGAACAGGAAGGGACCTTAGCAAGTACCTCAGTCACCCCCTTATTCTTACACAGGGGGCAGCCAGTGCCCAGAGAGACTAAGGGACTTGACTAAGCCCACCCAGTGAGCTCGGTTTTGTTGCTGTTGTTGAGGGAAGGGCCCGGGGTGAGGAGGGTTTACTTTTGGAACAGGCACATCGTGCAACTCCAGTGGTGTATCTGGAGTCTGGAGGTGCACACAGACGAGGCCTGATCTTGGTTCCAGCCACGTGCCCGTGGGTGAATCTCTTAGATTCCCAGGTTTCTTGTCGGCGATATTAGGGTAATATATGCACTTTGCTGTAGGTTCTTAGTATTAGAGATAGATGCATCGTCCATGCCTGCTGCTCCATATATGCTCGTTTTTCTTCTCCACCATTATATTTGGTCTCTTAAGTGAGGACAGCATGTCTTTTTGGCCCCAGTTTTCTGAGCCCTCCTTCTAGCTGGAGGTTGCTGTCAGCCAATTCCCACTTAGGGCTGATTTCAGGGTGCCAAGTTCCAGGCGCTGCAGGAGACTGCGCCCTACCCCTTCCTCACCCTGCGCCTGGCCTGGCCACGGGGAGTCCAGTCCCATCCTGTGCCTTTTAGCTCAGTACACCCTGCACAGCCCCATGCAAATTGCTGGAGCACTCAGAATGCCTCATTTCTCAGGAAGGCTCCCTCATCCAAGCATTTGTCCTTCCGCTTGACATTAAACTCTGTCAACATTTTTTCCCAATGAAGTTCTTCCTCCCCCTGCATGGTCCCCAGTCTCCAGCCGGCTTCTCCAGCCAGGGACACAATTGGATTGCAGTTGCTAGCACTTCCTGGAGATCAGGTCCCTGAAGAGCTATAAAAGTCCAGGAGTGTTTCTGGCCACCTTTGCATGTGGTTTGCAGAGGCTGGTGTGGCCGCGTAGCTCTCACGCACCCGCAGAGCTGGTGAGCACGCGCATGCGTGGACTCGGCTGCAAGGGAGGCCCTCATATTGCATTACCTATGTCACTAGTTTCTGGCTGCCAGTTTGAATTTCTTAAACGGATTTGCTGATTACAGGCTCTGGAGGGCTCCCCCTCACTGTATGTAATTGGGCACGGAGCCGTTGTGGGGTGGATTTGGGTAATGGCTGGGCTGCATTCCTCCCATTCTTTTCTCACAGGAAAAAGTGCCTGGAAATAACCCTGTGGTGGGGATTGCTTACAGAAGGAGGGGCCTGCTGCCTGCCACCGGCCTTCACATTTGGTCCCTCTTGGCCCTCTCCACTCCCCCACCTCCTCCCCTCCAGGCAGATGCCACCAGCTGGGCATACACTGGGGTTGCAGATGCCCCTCAGTGGGTTTAATGACCTGACCAGCTGGGCTGCCCTCTTCCCACCCTTGCTGGTCAGGACTGTAGCCCCATTCCTGGGGAATTCCTCTGTAAACCCCAGACATTGAACAGAATAGGGCAGCAGTGAATGAAGTCTCCCTTCCTGCCTCCCTCCTTCCCTCCTTTCCTTTTTTTTTTTTTTTTAAATGAAGCCAGTCTTTTGAATTGAAAGTAAAAGCCCAACCATTGAGTATAAGTGAATTTCCCTGCAAATGGATGCCCTGCTGGATTTGGGGTGCCATTGAGCTGCGTGGCTCAGACTCTCAGAGGAGGGTTTTCCTTCTCCAGCTTTCAGGCCCATGGGGAATTCATAGCAGGAAATCTCTCCCTGGGGAGTCTGATGAGATTGGAAAGTTTCTCTTTCTGTTTTCTGAGGCACCAGTTCTCTGTCAGTTTACAAGAAGGCGGCTGCCACCTTACAGCCCTTAGCACCTGGGCACTGGGAGGCCACTGCACGGTCGGGTCTTCTGGTCGTCCACATGGCCTGGACGCTCATCCCTTCCTCACCTGCCTGAGCTCTGCCTGATGCCATGGTGGGCCCCTCCTTTCAGAAGGGGCTTCGGTGTCCTCCTGTCCTTCTGACATTCCTGCCTTCCTCAGCAAGCAGCCTCTTCCCTATACCCGGTTCCTAAGTCTCCAGCAATATCTGATTAAACGGATATTGAAGAGAAAAGAACAGGTGGGAGAGAGACTGCTAGTGTGGCTGCTTCCTGCCTGGAGGCCCTCAGAGCCTCCTTTCCTCACACAGCATCAGAAGACAGGGACTCTGGAAGCACCGCCCAGTGACACAGCGGCAGAGGGCTACACACACGTGGAGGGCAGGGGCCTTGGGGATGTCTGCCCCCACAGCGTGTGTCTGTGCACGAGGTGGTGGCGGGGGCAGGCAGTGCCTTCTCTGGAGCCCCCAGCTCTGCGGAGTGATTGTCACCAACCTTTACCTCACGTCTGACCCCCTGGGACTCCTAGAAGGCCCTGAGTACAGGAGACGTTTTCTCCCTAACCTTCCTCATCCTCTGGTTTCGGGTTGTGCTAGCTTATTTTAGGGTCAGGAGCAGGCTGGGCATTTAAGAAAATATTTACATAAATAATGCTGTATAATAGTACAAATCAAAGGAATAGGGAGAAAAAAGCCTCTCAGACCTGCCACCGCAACAAGTCAACTTTCCATTTTCTATGATGCCTTCAGTCTGTATTTACTTGCAAACATAATTTTCACATGGTTATAGTCATAATGTAGACAGAATTTTGCATTCTTTTTTTTTTTTTAATTTTATTTATTTATTTATTTTCCCCCCAAAGCCCCAGTAGATAGTTGTATGTCATAGCTGCATATCCTTCTAGTTGCTGTACGTGGGACACGGCCTCAGCATGGCTGGAGAAGCAGTGCGTCGGTGTGCGCCAGGGATCCGAACCCGGGCCGCAGCAGTGGAGGGCACGCACTTAACCGCTAAGCCACGGGGCTGGCCCAGAATTTTGCATTCTATTTGCTTTATTTAATATTCTGCTACAAACTACATAATCATCACAGTTAGACTTGTAAATGTCTACATAGTAACCATTGAGTATTTATCAATTTTCCCTTGTTGACCATTTGGTTTGTGCACTTTTTAAATTTATCTAATAATAATGCAGGAAACTGCATATACAGCGGTATAGTAATATATATGTGTGTGTGTGTGTGTGTGTGTCTTTGTTTCTCCCTCTCTTTCTTTTCTTCTCTCTTTCTTTCTCCTCCTTTTCTGGTATTTTCTCAGGATGAGTTCAGAAGCCAGGGATTCTTCCCTAGAGTAATGGGAGATCTTGTTCTGGGTTGTTCATAACCAGCTAGCAGTCAGATGCTGAGAGCAGCCACAGGATTTAGCTCAGATCTTGGTCTCAGTCTGGCCTTACCAACTACCCTTGGGAAGTGAGTTAGGTAGCAGAGTGCCTGGTTTCAAGGCTGGTAACTCTACGTTTTTGCTGCAGCTCTGGCTCTGAAGCCTGTGGCCTGCGCATATAGATTTCAGCGATGTATGTTTATCTCATTCAGTAATTCCTAAGTGCACTCCACCATCTGACCCCATTCAAAGCAAGAGAAATAGATCTAGCTCTCACCCTCTGGGATCTTGTGGTCTGAAATGACCACCGGTCACCCATTTAATTACATTCAGCCAAACTTGATGCAAAGCTGCAAACTCAGATGAGAGAAATGGGCCAGGGTCTGTGATGATTTGAAGACCATGTACCCCACCTGAGGACCTACCCCCTGTTCAGGTCCAGCTGATTGTTGTTGCGCCAAAATGTGAGACTGGGAGTGCCACATCTTCCATTTTTCAAAGGAAGCTTGAACTTCTGATTTTTGGGTAAAATCTCCAGATTTTTTAACTGTTGACAATTTTAAAAAATTTAAAACATGGTATAGTTCAAACAAAACATATCTGTGGTTTAGGGTACCAGTTTGTGACCCTTGCTTTATGTATTACAGGTCAGTTGTTATCCTGGGCACTTTGGGGTTTACGGGAGCATAAAGTTATAAAATTAATAGAAATCATGGGGAGGGGAGTGACTGGCACACAGAGTTTCAATGCGAAGCATTACATGATGGGTGACACGAGTGAGACAGAAGACCAGCCGCTCTGGAAATGCCTCGGCAGGGACAGCTGATTCTGTTCTGAGGGTTTAGGAGGTCATCACGAGGAGGCTGCTCCCATAGTTAGAACTAACCGAGACATTGTGAAGTACTTATTCTCTGTACACCATTCAGGTCGGCGATGAGATGGGGGAAGGTCTGTGTCTGTCTATCTGTCTGTCTCCAGCAAGAGACCATGTCTCCATTTTCTAGTCCTTCTGGCAAGGCCTTTGAGAGGAGCGTGGCCTCATTGCGGGGAGCTTGAAGCACAGGGTTGGAACTTGGAAAATTGGATCAGGTGGGTGCTGAGTGGATTGCCTTTCCTCCGTGTTCCTGTCTGTGTAGTGAGGCGAGTCGTCCCCCTTGGGCTGTTAGCAAGTATTTATTGGAGGCACGCTGGAGGCAGAGTTGCCAGGGGCCCCCTCTCCGCTCTCCTCCGAGAGCATAGAGGAGATAAAGGGGGTCTGTCTGAGGTGCTTTGAACTCCTCAGGAAGGAGAAGGGATTTGAAGATGCCAGCATCGCTCCACGGTGTCCCCAGATGACAGCCATTACGTACGAGCCAAGTGCTCCTTAAGAAATATGGCTTGTGAGAGAAATAAACACCCTGTGTTATTTATTATTTATTAAAAAACAAAGCTTTCCTCAGCTGGGAGGTTTCAGATCACCGACAATGTCAGGTCTCATTTTCCTCTATTAATAACAGATCAGTCGGTATCCTTCCCAGCTCGTGTCAGGAGCATCGCCATGCTTGTCTGCCTGCACCTTTGGCGTGTGATGACTTCCCAAGAGGAAGGGAACATGGTGTTCAAGAATGGGAAGGTTCTGCACTGCCTGGGCCCAGGTCTGGTTCTGAACAGGAGTAAAGAAGAGCTGCCTTCTGGGTGCTAGGTCCTGTGCTAGAGACTTGATCTGCATCCTCTCATGTCATCCCCTTCAGGATTGGGGGGTGTGAGGGCCAGCCAGTGGGGAGTCCAGTGGTCAGGAGTGAAGGTCCTGATGGAGATACCCACCGTCTCCTGATAGGACGGACTCTTAGAGTTTGGAATCAAAGTGAAACTTGGGCTTTGCTTCTAAGAATCAAATGGAATCCAGGGACCGAGAGCGTCATGGAGGAAGTGAGAGTGGGTCAGCAGTGGGGGAAGGGATGGGAGGATAGGCTGGGCTAGTTGGGAGCGCTTTCTGGAGGAGAAGGGCCTGGGGTGAGGGCCCCAGTTGAGGTGAGGTCCAGCTGACTTGAGGGCCACCACATTTTGGCCTTGAGTAACTGCAATATTGAAAAGGACAATACCCTTGCAGTATTGAGGGTGAATTCTCCCCACTGAGCCACATGGCAGGCAGGTGAGGGAGGGGAGAGCAGATTTTATTATTTCCACTTAATTCACTTAAGTGTGGTACAGTTTGGGAACCTGGGTCTTGAAGCCAGACGAATCTGGGTTTAAGCATAGCCTTCTGACCTTGACTAACCTATTTAACCTCTTGACCCCAGTTTCTCCATCTGTAAAATGGGGAGACTGACACTTACATCACAGGGTGTTTTGTAAGGGATAAAAACCTGAAATGGTCCTGGACACATAGTAGACACTGAATAATTAATAGTGGCTGTGATTGTCAGTGCAGACAGGAAACGGAGAGGGTGAGTGTCTTCCTCAAGGTCAGGGAAACGGCGAGGACTTGAACCCAGGTCTCCAACCTCTCATGCTATGTTCTCCATTCTCTATGTGTACCTGGGCCCTTCCTGCCCCTCCCTGCTCAGGTGGACGCTTGGCGGGCATTGGCGGGCAGGCATGCTGCCGCCCAGGGTGCGTTTACGCCCGACGTGTGAGTTAACGGCTGTGTCCCTGCATCAGAGCTGATTATAGGGTGCTGACAGAGCAGCACACCGGATAAAAACGTACCCGGGCTCTTGTGCACCAAACAACCGCACTGTGTCTCTCTCCTTCCCCACCCCTCCTTTTATCTCCTGAAAGAAAAAAAAGAAAGAAATGGGAAAGATGAAGGGCTGTCAGCACTGGATCACACATCGGCTCCAGGATTTGGCGGCTTTCCAGTGCCTGCGGAGAGTTCCCTCCTCTTCTTGCTGTCCTCAACTTCACGCTTCTCTCGGTCTGATTAAGATAGGTCTGAGAGTACTGCTAGAGGCCGGGAGCTTCCCGCTTCCCTGTCTCCCGTTGGCTCTTTCCCTTCAGCTCTGCATTACCACCTCCCCCTGTCCTATGAATGCCTCAGACAAGAGCTACTGAAGTGGCCGCCCAGTCCATCTGCTGGCTGTGGGTGGAGCCACCTTTCCCTAGCACTCATCAGGTGATATCACACTCCTGCCCCAGAACCCTCAGTGGCTCCCTGTTACTTATCTCAAGTCCGCGCTCCTAAGTGTAGCGTGCAGGGCTCTCCAGATGGGCCTCAGCCTACTTCTGCTTTGTTATCCCCACTGCTCCTTGTATAAAGTGTATGCTTCTGCTGCACCAGCCAACTTGCTTTTTCCTGAACAGGTCTGGAAGTTACCTGCCTTTGGTCACGCGGTTCCTTTTGCTTGGATAGCCCTCACCCTGGTGGAATTAGGCCCATTCTTCAGGGATTAGCTGAAGTGCCAACTCTTCTGTATACCACGTTTTGCTCAGGAACATGCTCCTATTTTGCCTGGCACAAAACAGATATGGAATTAATATAGAATTCGCTCACGGACTCTCTGCTTGTCACCAGGCAGGTCTCTTCCAGGGCCTCCTCAGAGCTTTGCTGGCTGCCCCGCTTTTCCCACAAGCTGTGGAGCGTATTTACTCCTTAATTGCACATGATCTAAGTTCTGAGGCATTTTTCTTTTTAAGTCTAACGTTCTCTTACTTTTCCCACCATTGTCTGTTTAGTTTCTGAGCCGTCGAGGCTGAGGTGCCAGGAGGCCGGAGTAGACAGAGCACTAGACTTGGAGTTGGAGCCGTGAGTTCTCCTCCCAGCTCTGCCTCTGACCAACTGTGACTTTGGGCAGGTAGCTCCCTTTCTCTGGGCCTCAGTTTCCCATCTGTAAAACAAGAGGTTGGACTAGCTAATCTCTAGGACTTGTGGATGGGATTTTTGAAAACAGTTGTGTTGAGATATAATTCACGTACCATAAACTTCTCCAATTGTTATGGACTGAGTTGTGTCCCCCGCAAAATCATATGTTGAAGTCCTGACTCCTTGTACTTCAAAATGTGACTGTATTTGGAAATAGAGTCTTTAAAAAGGTAATTAAGGTTAGATGAGGTCATTGGCATGGGCCCTAATCCAATATGACTGGTGTCCTTTAAGAAGGGGAGATGAGGACACAGTCACGACAGAGGAAGGATCATGTGGAGACACAGGGAGAAGATGGCCAACTACAAAACAAGGAGAGAGGCCTCAGGATGAAACTAATCCCGCTGACACCTTGACCTTGGGCTTCTAGCCTCCAGGATTGTGAGAAAATAAATTTCTGTTGTTTAAGCCACCCAGTCTGTGGTACTTTGTTATGGCAGAGCTAGCAAACTAATACACCCATTTAATGTACAACTCGGTGGTTTAGCTGTTCATGGGGTTGCATAACCATCATCACAATCTATTTTTTTAACATGTTATCAGCCCTAAAAGAAACCCCATACCCGTTAGCAGTTACTCACTGCTCATTTCCCTCACGCCACCTCCAGCCCTGGGCAACCACTAGTCTATGTTCTGTCTGTATGGACTTGTCTGTTCTGGACCTTTCTTGTAAGTGGAATCATAAGGGGTCTTATGTGTCTGGCTTCTTTTGCTTAGCATTATGTTTTCAGAGTTCATCCATGTTGTAACGTATAACAGGACTTCGTTCTTTTTTATTGCTGAATAATATTTCATTGTATAGGCAACACCCCTTATGGCCCTGTGCCTGGAAGACACACACAGTCCTGTGGGGCATCAGATCTTCCAGGTGACTCTCATCAGCGGACTACCCAGCACTGCCCAAGATGGCAAAAGGCAGAGGAGTTCCTGTGAGATCTGGCTTCAGGGGAACAGGCATCTCGGTTTTAGGTGGGCTTGTCCTTGGCAGCCCAAGTGTGTCCCCCAGAAGTCCCCACTTGTGGCCCAGTCTATTCCAACATGGCTAGGACTTTGGGACCCATCTCAGGGAGCCTGGATTTTGACTCTTGGGGGCTGCACCTGCACAGTTTGCTCCTGCGTACCTGCCCTCAGGCATCAAGCCCACCTGGCTTGTTGGATAGAGCCTGACCTTGCCCATCAGGCCATCTTCTTGGTGCCAGCAGTTTCCATCAAGGTACCATCGATGAGGAGGTTTGAATGGTGGATACTGTCGGACACCATATGGCTCTTTTCTCCTTCTGGGTCCAGGTGCCTGTCTGACAGTGAGGCCCAGGTGTCTCTCATGCCCTGTATTCCTGATCAGGCCTGGAATGGCTTTTGAGATCCTGCGAGATCTGCCTTCAGAGGCATTATCAACTCTGTTCTGGAGCTGGACAGACCCTGGCAGCCGGTTTGACTCCTAGATGTCCCCACCTGCAGCCATCACTCGATGGACATTTGGGTTGTTTCAGTTTTTTGTCTCTTAAGAATAATGCTGCAGTGAACATTTGTGTACAAGTTTTTGTGTGGACACGTTATCATTTCTCTTGGGTATATACCTAGGAGAGGAATTGCTGGGTCATATAATAACTCTACTTTTAACTTTTTGAGGAACCACCAAACTGTTTTCCAAAGTGGCTGCACTGTTTTACATTCCCACCAGCAGTATATAGAGGATTCCAATTTTTCCACACCCTTGCCAACACTTGTTATTGTCTGTCTTTTTGTAGCCATTGTAGTGGGTATGAAATGGTATCTCATTGTGGTTTTGATTTGCATTTCTCTGATGATGAATAATGTTGAGCATCTGTTCATGTACTTATTTGCCATTTGTGTATCTTCTTTGGAGAAATATCTGTTAATATACTTTGCCTATTTTTTTTTTTTTTTTGGTGAGGAAGATTAGCCTTGAGCTAACATCTGTTTCCAATCCTCTTCTTTTTGCTGAGGAAGATTGGCCCTGGGCTAACATTCGTGCCCATCTTCCTCTACTTTATATTGGATGCTGCCACAGCATGGCTTGACAAATGGTGTGTCGGTCTGCGCCCAAGATCCAAACCTACAAACCCCGGGCCGCTGAAGTGGAGCGCGTGAACTTAACCACTACACCACCAGGCCGGCCTCTACTTTGCCTATTTTTAAATTGAGTTATTGTCTTTTAATTATTGAGTTGTAAGAGTTCTTTATATATCCTGGATATAAGCCCCTTATCAGATATATGATCTGCAAATATTATCTCATATTCTGTGGATTGTCTTTTTTTCTTGGTGGTATTATTTGTAGCATAAAAGTTTTTAATTTTGGTAAAGTCCAATTTATCTAATTTTTCTTATATTACTTATGCTTTTGGCATTGTATCTAAGAAACCATTGCCTAACCCAATGTCATAAAGATTTACTCCTATGTTTTCTTCTAAGAGTTTTTATAGTTTTAGCTCTTACATTTAAGTCCATGATCCATTTTGAGTTAATTTTTGTGTTTGGTGTGAGGTAGGGGTCCAGCTTCATTTTTTGAGTGTAGATATGTGGATATCCAGCACCATTTGTTGAAATGGGTGGGATCGTAAAGGTCACTTGGAGCAACCCGCCCTCTGAGGAGGAAGCATGGAGAACAAGTAATGTGGAGCCTGGCTCAGGGAAAAGCTATTGGTTGCCTTTCTCTTTACTTTTGCAATAGCACCAACATGCAGGCCTCAGCCCCTGCTTGACAATCTTTTTTGTTGATATTTCATAATTCTGTGTTTGTTTAACTTGCTCTTACGACTTCCAGAATGGTGTTGTGTGCAGCTGGATGCTAAATAATTGTTACTGGTGATGGTGAATGTCAGAACTAGAGGATGCTTTCGTCATAGCCAGGGTGTCCCTGGCTCGTGAGACCTGGTGGAACCAGCAGCATGGAAGTTATCAGCTCTCTTTCTACCTGGAGAGGTATTTGAGGCCCCCAGAGTCCAGGTGATGGGTGCTTGCAGGCCTTTGATCGAGTTGGGGAGAGGACGGTAGTGACAACTGAAACTAGAGGTGATGGGTGTTTGGGAAAAAAAGGAAAAGAGGACATTTCAGCTTTTTGGCTCCTTTAATCCAACTCTACTTTCATGCCAGAGGAGGACCATTTTCTTTCCCCACAGCACTTTTTCAGCAGAGCTAATAGGTCCCCTGGGTGGATTTAAGGGAAGTAGTGAGACAAGTTATGGTTATAGCAGATTCTAGGCTACATGTCCCCCTTTTCTCCCCAGGTTTCCTGGGCTGAGGCTCAAAGGACCGTCTTCCCCACCATGAGAGCTGAGGCAGATGTGGAGGCACTGGGCAGCCTGCTGGGCAGAGTTCTAGTGGGAGGGCAGTGGGGACCTCGGAGGGCACAGGCCTCCTCCTTCCTCCCACTGTTGACAGTATGAAAAGGGAGGGTCTTGCTAGTCATTGGCAGATCTTTCCAGTAGGGCCCCCGACTTTCTTTTCCAGGCTTATTCCCATCCTCTTCCATGGTCCCTGGCTCCAGTCAGCACAGACCACTCCCATGCCTGTTCGTGCTGTTCACCTCTTCACCTCCCGCATGTAGAAACTGCCTGGCTCTATAAATAGTTGTTGAATGAATGAATGCTTCTCTACCTTGAGCTCAAGCTGTTGCTTTCACCTCATTCCCCATTATTCTTTGACTGTCTTCCAAAGGCTGTCAACTGTTCAAGGTCCAGCTTAAATATCTTGTTCATAAAGCTTTGCCATCCCTTCCTACCCCCCCAATTGCATATGATGATCTCTCTTTTTTTAATTTAATTTTATTTATTTATTTTTTTTTTGTGAGGAAGATCAGCCCTGAGCTAACATCCATGCTAATCCTCCTCTTTTTGCTGAGGAAGACCGGCTCTGAGCTAACATCTATTGCCAATCCTCCTCCTTTTTCTTTTTTTCCCCAAAGCCCCAGTAAATAGTTGTACGTCATAGTTGCACATCCTTCTAGTTGCTGTATGTGGGACGCAGCCTCAGCATGGCCAGAGAAGCGGTGCGTCGGTGCACGCCCGGGATCCGAACCCGGGCCACCAGTAGCGGAGCGCGCGCACTTAACCGCTAAGCCGCGGGGCCGTCCCTGATGATCTCTTTTTAATCTCCTCTTCATTATGTTTCTACCTCCGTTTTGCCACTTTTCACATCTGCCCCGTGGTAAAATATTTGTGTATGTGTCTTAACCCCAGAATTGAAACACAGGGCTTGGGATAGGAACCGTGCTTTCTCATTGTGTACATTGCTGTGTTTCTCCTCCCTTCCCCTCCACCACACCTACCATGGTGTTTTACAGACATTTGTCACTCAACAAAGTCTGCTTAATTACGGTGCCTAGGTCACAGATTGTTGGTGCTGGGTCTCTGCCTCCCAGGTTAGTGTTCTGCCTACAGCTTTACGCTGCCCAGAGGATTTTCCTGGGTTTCATATCCTGGAGTAGGAAGTATCGGTGAGAGACAGATGTCAGTGTATGGTGTTCTCTATCCATTGTGTATAATTTACATATCTCTGTGTGGGGAACATCAACGCGGCCGCGTTACTAAGGTATTATACTTGACTCCTGGCAGGAAGAATTGGAACAGATAACACATCAGTGGTAATCCCTTGCTCTGCCTTGGAGGATACAGAAAATCTCTAGTGTGAGTTGCTGCCTGTGGATATAGACTCACCTGCTATTGTTAATGTAGCCACAGGTTTCTCCCCCCAGCTGAGTGGGCTGCTCTTCTCTGCTCTCCTCTTTGCAGACCTCCCACCACCCCTGTCCTGACCTAGAAGGTGGGGCTGAGTGGGGTAAGAGGCTGCAGGGAGGGAGGGGGCCACTTAGAATGCCCAGCCACAGAGGGCCTTTAGGGAAGACCGGCTGGCAGAGGCTCCGGCGCTCGGTGGGTACCCCGTCCCTGATGAGAGAAGAGGGGAAGGAGGAAATGATGGGAGCCTCTGTTCTTACATGGGGCATTCTGTTTTCTCATGCACTTTTATATGGATTTTCACTTTTGAGTGTCACAACCATCCTGGGAGATGTTCTTACCTCTGTTTTCAGATGTAGGATCTGTGGAACAGAAGGGCAGCTGACTTGTTCTGAAGTCCATAGCAGGGACAGGAGAAGGCTCACACTCTGTGGGATGCAGTGTTGGTCAAGAGGCCCAGTGTACCTTGCACACAGTGGACATCTGATGCGTGTTTGTATGGTAAATGGATAGTGGGCACTCAATAAATAATAGTTGATTTGAGACAAAAGCAGAATTTTCTGGATTTTGCTCCCAACTCACTCTGGTCTCCTTCACTCTTCGACTCAGTTTCTTCTCTTCTGCAT